GTGTGTGTGTGTGTGTGTGTGCATGCTCAGTAAACTGAAAGCATCAGATAAGGACCGCCGTCTGTCCATTGAGGTGTGGGACTGGGACCGGACCACCAGGAATGACTTCATGGGCTCCATGTCGTTTGGAGTGTCCGAGCTCATCAAAGCTCCCACATGTGGATGGTCAGTTTGTTTCTCTCACTTCCAAAAGAAAACGACTTTGATGAAATTTCAGGTTCTGATAGTTCAGAATGTTCAGCCCATTTCTTTAAAGTTAGACTGCAAGATGAAGATTTTGGTGGTTGAAGGTCAAGTTCACTGTGACCTCATATGAGTCTCAAAAAAATTTATGTAAACTGAAACTCCAGTGGTTGGCAGAGGCGTCCAACTGCAGGGAGGTAATTCTACTTTTTCCAGTATACTTCCAGATCTCAGCCCTGCTCTGACTGGTTATATAACCTTCATCCATTGAGCTCGAGATGTCTTCTTTTAAATGAGACCAGAGTACAATTAAAAACAATACAGAAGACTGAAGAGAAATAATATTCAGCAAACTACAGTAAAGAACTATTAGTTACTATTGAACAATACAAAGCAGATTCTTTCAGCATTCTTGAATCTTCCAAACTGTCACAGTGATGAAGGGATTACAGTGAAGCAGCAAAGTCAATGCAGAGCAGTTACTTTATTATGAACCCTGTTCTCTCTTACATCAGACAACTTGACCCTACACTGACCACGACTGCATTGTGACGTCTCTTTAAAACAGCAGCATCATACCTATAACAGTCGTTCACTCAGACAAACAGCACCGGCTGGCATCATTTCCTTGTCTCTCTGACTCAGACTCTCCATTTTGTCTTGTCCTGACAAACACACACTCACAGAGACATTACAGCCGCTCTTCTACAAACCTTGTTAGCATACCTGCCGCAACTTAAACCTAAACCCAGCTTGATTGACTGCTGCTGTGAGGACAGTTATAAGCTCCAGGAAATACCTGCCCGTAAGAACGCCTGGCACACGCTGCCCTGAAACCACCACAGTGTGCCTCTGTGTGTTGGTCTGCATATTGTACTGTATACTTCAGCTCATTAGACAAGTGGCCTGTGTACATTAGAGAGGAAGTAGAGTGAGGTTGGTGCTGCTGACAGAGAGCAGACCTGCAAACTCTCAGGTAAGCAGCTATTTATGATGGACGTGGTGCAGAAATACAAAGATTTATAGCTGTGAGGGGAGACAGAGGAAGAAATGCATGGAGCATGGATTAAAATCTGGTTGGAAATATTTCGTTTTACAGCCCTGGGGATGAAGTAAAAAGCAAATGTTCACCTTTCTCCCTCTTTTTGTTTGTCTCAGGTACAAGTTGCTGAACCAGGAGGAGGGAGAGTACTACAACGTTCCCATCCCAGAGGTGGACGACGTAGACCTGGAGCTCCGACAGAAGTTTGAGGTGAGGAATGATTCGATTATGAATTTGTTACATTCAATAAAAGCACAAGTAGATTTTCTTTTTCCAAATTCACCTTTACAAAATGTGTTTCTCGCCTGTCACCATGGTAACCCCATCCCATTCCAACTGGTGATTTTCATCTTGTGTGCAAAGAGACGGAGATCACTGTCTCTGAGCGTTAAAGTGAATGCTCTTGTTTTTTATGAAAGTTTGAAAAAGGCACAAGATGTCAGTTAAATGAAGAGTGGCAAAAAGAGAACAAAGGAATCAGGTTCCAGAGTCTGCAGTCACACATAATAACTGTCAACACTCTCAAATATATAATGTGCAACAATTCTACATTAAAACGTCCAAAAACCAACCAGACCCATGTTATGTATTTTGTTGATTTGTGTACTTACATCTTCCAAAATGTTTCCAGCAATGTTTAAATCAAGAGAAATCCCCAATTTTATTCAAGGTAACAGGATGTTTCATTTTCGCCTTTTATCATTGTTTTATCATGTCATTATTTTATCGTCATATAGTCTTGATCTCTTTGTAGACCTGAGCCTGTGTTTTTGCAAGTTAAATCCAGTTTACTTAAAATCATATATTATCTCTGTTCTTGCTGAAACAAGCCGAGTGATAATCAGAGCGAATGTAGTTTTAATGCACTTACAATAGTGTAAATAAAAGCAGACATGATCTTCATTGTTCCTCCAGTTGTTTATTTGGATGAAATAAATGAAATTATTTACTTTTTTTTATTATCAAATTAACATGGAAAAATACTGATAGGGTCCTTTATGAACTCAAAGGAAAACTTCATTGCAACTAAGGCTTTCTCTAGTGGCTGCTCAGTTTACTGCAGGTTTCTGTTGACTAGGTTTCTATCACATTACACATCACATCATCCACACTTAAAGTCAAAAACCTCTTTACTCCCATAATATTAACACACGGGTAGAAGTAAACAATGTAAACAAGTGGGGGAAAAACATATGTGATTTAACTAGAGGAAAAAGAGGGCAGTTTTATTAGTGTCCTCCTCCTGGTGTTCATACAGGTGTTTTTTAATACAGGGTGTAAATGTCATCTACTTACAGCAGCTCTCAAGACACTCGGTCTGGTTGTTTTTAATTTTGTGCCGTACAACAATGACCTTGACTTTCCTCCGACGCTGCCGTCTTCACACAAGCGTGCGGTTGCCGTGGAAACTAGTGTGAGATACAGCCAGATGTGGAAAAAGAAAAAGATTTACTCTGTTTTCTAGTCGTGGCTCTGATTCACTTTGCTGTTTGTGGAGTTGCGATTTAAACGGATCAAAATAACGACTGATCATTTCTCCAGGAGCATGGTTTATTGTTTTTCATGTTTTGTTCACAGCAAGACACACACACACACACACACATCAACTAACCTTTTCACCAAACTAATAAGTGAGTTTCTTCTTCTTTCTAGGCCTGCCAGTTAAATATCCACTATCTCAAGGTAGCTGCCTGCTTTGTCTCTTTTTCTTTCACCCCCCAGCCTGCATCACGCTCACTTGACGTACTGTACTGGGATTGTTTGTGGATCTCTGCTGGGCTTCCACAAATTAATCAGATTTACTAACAAAGGCTCATCTCAACAGCTTACAGATGAACCAGCTTAATTTGCTCATTCATATTTACACAACAAATTTTTTTTAATTCTAACTCCTCTCACACTAGTCCTGCTTTTGCATCCTAATCACACACATACAGATATGGCCACACCTTAATCCCCTGCTGCAATGGTCAGATCAACAAAATCTGTCATTTGCAGTCAAGGTTTTAATATGAATATAAAATTTGGTGTTGCATGTATTAGCTTTAAGGTACTTTCTATCTTACACACCCTCATCAAACAGCATTATTGTTAGTAAATTCTGGGACCAATCAGGCCTCTGGTGCTGTCATGTTCTGTCATTGGCCAAGAGAACATCCCACCTGCTCCTCATTGGCTGACAGTGTGGTCCACAGCTCGCCCTCTACTAGTCCTGTGTGGACTATAGAAGGCTGTTAGGACATGAAGCATGGACTCACGTATTCACTGTGTATGAATGAATACACACAGGGTCTTGGTGTGCATGCTGAATTTCTCCACACGATGGCAGTGTTCTATTTATTGTTTAAGATATGAGCCCTGTGGCTGCACTGTGTGTTTCTCTTTTCAACTGTGTGTGACCACTCTGATGTGAATACTTTTGCTTGTGTTGCTGCAGATACAAGTGGTTTTGTGAACCGACTGTATGATGTGAAGTTTTCTCATTTTTACTAAATTAATTACTAAAGTGTTACTGTAAAAAAAAAAGTGTCATTTCTATATAACCACTATCTCTGTAGTGTGTGGAAGCTGTAAACAAAGTCAGCTCAGTATGAACACATTGTTCGGATGTTTCCTGCTGACAACACTGTACCACGTGACCAAGGCAACAACCACAAACGTTTTGTGTAGAATTGTGTAGACTGTTTAAGTCCTTGGTCAAACATCCCTCTGGCAGTGCATACGAAGGGTTTGTGTCACAGGCTCCCAACGTTTTTCACTTTTGATTCTTTAAAAATGAAGCAATGTGAACATGGGATGTGTAAGTATAAAGAAGTAAAACCAAAAAGTAATTTTTCCTCTGGGTTTTTGTCATTTGAAGGATTTTTAGAGGCTTGGAGGGAAAGAAAATATCCAGTATTTTACAAGAAAAAAAGAAAAATTAGAGAAAAGCCAGAAAAAAGTAAGACTTTCTTTTTTCTTTTTCATCTTTTTGGGCCGTCTCAAATTTATTGTGGGATTGTGACCCATGCGTTAGAAACTTTAGTTTAGTTTAGCCATCACACATGATGAAACCCACAATAATACCTCAAATATTAAAAAGCAATTATTGGTACGAAAGGTAGAAGTGATCAAATATGCACACCCATTGCTGTAAGAATTTGGTGTAGGTATAAATATGTTTATTAATGCTATTATAAAGTCATGCCTTTTAGAATTACAATAGATATGTTCCTCTTTTTGTTGTATCACTTCACATTTGTGCGTCAGCTAATCGTCTTTTCAGCTGAAAATAACACCTTAAATGAGTTATCCATTTAATTGGTTTTACATATAACAGCAGCATATAGAACCAGTACCAAGCTCATAGTATTTTCTCAGTAAATGACCACCTATTTCAAGTTAATGCTGATGTGATGTTAATTGACCCAGAGGTGTACACGTAAAGAGACACTTAACCCGAGGCAAAGAAACATGCAAGATTCATAATGTTGAGTGTATTTCCAATCAAGAGTAGAGAACTGGTCGGCCTGGCAACAGCATCTCGGTGCCCCCCGCCGGTCGCCTGCTTTCTCCACTCTATCTGGCAGAAACAGACGACCGCTGGAGCCATGAAGGGAGCTGGCAGAGTCCTAATTGCTCTTTTTGTTCAAAGAGACTTGGCAGGCCGGTCATTATAACAACAGGGAACCTTGCAACACTGGCATCCCGCCTGCTGACGGCTTCACCTCACAATTTCCCCCAAAACCCACCAATAGTCAGATCCTGTGGAATGACTGTGAGGACGCCTGGGTATAACAAAGAAAGTGGCGTGTCGGTGTTAAAAATAGATCACTATGTTATCTCTCTATAGAAATAGAGACCGAGCAGAGAAGTATGATTTGCTGATGTGCAGCTAACCAGTTATCTCTAACGTCATCACACCTAGTAGCTAATGATAATGTAATAATTGCTGAACATTCACAGAACGTATCATTATGTAATAGGATGTAATGACCAGCATGCAAAAATATCTGAAATGGGACTGAAAATGTAATAGTAAAGTCAGTTTATCATATTTAACCACTGACTGTATATAAAGATGGACGATGCATCCCCACTTCCTCCCTCTATCCAGAAATCAAGCCAAAATATCCCCGATACAAACGCTGCTATTTTGCGGATTCAGAGATGGAGACTGTAGCAGTCGGGATCAGGGGGAATGGAGCCGCAGCAGCGAGATCCCGACCATACACATGCTTGACCAATCACGAGCCAGTCTCAGCTGTCAATCATGATGTTTCACCCCATTTTATATCATCAAATAACTTAATAACCAAACTTACCAGAAAAATTAACCCTTGAACAAACATCAGCAAGCACGAACTACTTAAAATGACAGAAACCACCTTTGTGAAAAATTAACTTGATGTGTACTTTGATTTTATTATTTCGGCCCTTCTCCTATCAGGTAACATAGAAGAGGCAGGATTTATGACCTATGCAGCAGCCAGCCACCAGTTGGCCATCAAGATGTTTTGGCTTCACTCGTGGGAGCAGTCATGTCGTCCATTTTTCAAATGGGTTCATTAATTCTCCATCTTGACATTGTTATGTAAACCTATGACATGTTGCACTTCATCATTAGTTTGTGTCATTGACAGGTTTTTTCATTTTCAACCCATTTTGAGAGATTTTTTAAACATGCTTTTGTTTGTTACCAGCACGATGATGACACAGTGGCCCATGTCCTCTTAAGTCTAGTGGGAAGAGGAAACTTCCTACAAAGCTTGACCTATTTTCTAAAACAGACTCATAGATCGTCTGAGAATGCTAAACTATCAAACAATGTCCATAAAATCTCATGTGAGACACCCACACCAGTAGACGAATTAAAATCAAAAGTTGTAATATTTTGTGCGTGTGTTCATGCTCTGTCCACCACAGAAAGCCAAACTAGGCCACGGTAAGAAAGTGATCACGCCTTCAGACCATCGGCGCTTCAGTCTGCCTTCAGGTAACATGGACCGAGTCCGACTCAGTGACTTCAACTTCCTGGCCCTGCTGGGAAAGGGAAGCTTTGGCAAGGTGAGAGCCACAAACACAGACATGATGGGACAACGGTGACTGTGTGACGCTTCTATCAAAGCTCAGAACCTCTGCAATCCATTTTGACCTTTGATCTGTTGTGCCTGTAGGTCATGTTGGCAGAGACGAAGTCGACAGAGGAGCTGTACGCCATCAAGATCCTGAAGAAAGACGTGGTGATCCAGGATGATGACGTTGAATGTACAATGATAGAGAAGAGGGTCTTGGCCCAGAGAGACAAACCACCTTTTCTCACGCAGCTCCATTCCTGCTTCCAGACTGTGGTGTGTAAAACCTTCACCCGTTGCCTAAATCATGATTTCCTCCTACTTCCTACACTGCTTCCAAAAAAACTTTATTTAATGGATGCCATTGTGCTCCCTCATCAGCCATCTATTCAATCCATGGCATTTTAAACTGGTGTGAGCGTCTTTATGAGTTCATCTGTCTGCCATTACATCTGTATTTTCCTTTCACACGTTCATACATTCATTCACACCCTTTTGCCAGTGCCCCTGCAGAGAAAATTGATAGAGCTGAGACCAGCCATGAATGCGAAGTCTCCGGTATGACGTCAGCTCTGTGCGTAGACCGGGTGACTCAAGGAGTTCTTCGAATAAAAAAACTACATTTATAGATGAAAGCATTCTGGCTTATAATGCAGGTATATAACCTGACCACGCTGCTACACCGAAAGAATAGATTATGTTTGGCATTTTTATATAACTGACAGTGAACCGTGTCGTACAGACTATTAGACAAGATCATGTCTGAATATTAAACATGCTTTTCCCCCTGAAGCTCATTTAAACGTAATGTTTTGCTCACTCCTGTGTGACATTTATATGTGGAGTTGCTCTTTGTACAATTAGCTTTTCTTTGCAGGATCGACTCTACTTTGTGATGGAGTACATTAATGGAGGAGACCTCATGTATCATATCCAGCGCGTGGGCAAGTTCAAGGAGCCACAGGCAGTGTAAGGACACTATAGTTCATACACAGACATACTGTATGTTTTAGATCAAGACTTCCTGCTACGGGGCGGCACACCAGCTAGCTCTGTCACCTCACAGCGAGATGGTTCCCGGTTAAAATCCCGGTCCTGTTGTAGTCATTCTGTGTGGAGTTTGCATGTTCTCCCCTCTCCAGGTATTTCAGTTTACCCTCAAAGTTTAAGGACATGCAGACTGGGTGTTAGGTTGAGTTAAGAGTCTGTAACTTTACCGTAGATGTGAATGTGAGAGTGAATGGTTGAATGTTGGCCCTGCGATATGCTGGGTGTACCCCGCCTCTTGTCCAACGTTAGCTGGGATTGGCTCCTGACATAATCGGTATAGATAATGGACAGATTGATCAACTTTCTGCTGCCAGGTCAAATGTTTTCCCAAAATTGCAACGTGTTCACATGTGAACCAGGAGCTTTGTCTTCCAAATCACAGGTGTTATTCATATTTAATATTTCAGGCTTTTGTTTGTTTTGCATAAATACCTTTCATGAAGATGTTTTTCTCTTCTCCAATTATGCAGGTTTTATGCTGCAGAGATTGCTGTCGGTTTATTCTTCTTGCACCGAAAGGGAATCATCTACAGGTGGGTGACACTGAGGGAGGCATCATATTCACCTTCAGACAGACAGACGAGTAGGGTGGTAGGTAGGTAGGTAGGTAGATTGGTTTGTTGGTTAGTAGGTGAGTGGTAGTTGGGTGGGTTGGCAACTAGGGAGGTTGGTTTGTTGGGAGGTAGGTAGGCAGGCCGGTTGGAAGGTGGGTTGGTTGGCTGGTTGGTGGGTAGGTGGGTTGGTTGATAGGTAGGAAGGTACAATAGGTTGGTTGGTTGGTTGCTCTCATTGTGATTAAACTGACATACAGCTTGAATCCAGACTAATCACCCTGATTAGAAAGGACTGAAAAAAGCACTCCACAGAGACTGAAGTTCTCCCATTCCTCTTGGACTCACATCCATCCTTCATATCCCACCAGCAGTGTGTCTGGCATCCGGACGCTACTTTGTGACAGATATAACTGTCAGAAGAGTGGAGGAAACTGAAGAACTGAGACTGAAACTGAATTATAAGAGCAAAGAACTACAGAGGAGACAGGACGAGATTCTGAGGCCAATAAATGATGGTTTGTTACTTTGTGAAAAGTATGTGCAGTGGAGAAAGGGGCAGTGGTGTCTGATGTTCCTCTTTAGTCTGGACAACTACACACAAAAAGTATTAAAGTGGTCACAAATGCAGAAATATACACGTACATTAAATGCACACAACTGTTTCGGCTGCAGGGATCTGAAGCTCGACAACGTGATGCTGGACTCCGAGGGTCACATCAAGATAGCGGACTTTGGCATGTGTAAGGAGAACATGTATGAGGGCATGACTACGCGCACCTTCTGCGGCACACCGGACTACATCGCACCAGAGGTGAGGTATCTGATTACTTGCAGCTTGTGTGTGGATGTGAGTGTTGTATTTCTCTCAAAAGCGAAACCACAAATTGTGACTTTTGCGAGGTGTAGAATTTGCATCTCTAATAAAAGCAGTTGTGATTCTAGCCCTTGGCTTTTGTGTCTGTTTGATTGTTAATGTCTTTGTGTGTCTGTGGGAGGGAGGTTCAGGATGACAAATTGGATGGTGGGAGAAAGTGCCTTTGTTATTTCTGCAGGTTGAACAGTGGTTGATTTGGTGAGAGTTCAAATGAGAGAAATGCTAGTTTTTGTGCCAAGGTGACATTTTTAGTGCTGCGTTGTTTCAAATTCTGATTTTAAAAATCAAGTTGTATCTGTTATGATTCCACTTTTATCTTTTTTCTGTCTCTTTCAGATTATAGCATATCAGCCCTATGGTAAATCAGTGGACTGGTGGGCTTATGGAGTTCTTCTGTATGAGATGCTGGCAGGACAGGTAACTTGTCCCTGTATATATCACTTTGTTGTTTTTTTTGTGCATTTTTTTACATCCTGCTCTTTTGTTGAAAAACTCATATGTGTGAATTTAATTAAATAAATTAATAATTTTTCATTTGTATTGTCATATTGTTGTTATAGCTGTTATTAGCCATGACCGGGAAGACTTGTGTGTTTATCCGTTTGCTGCATTTCTTTCTATTTTTCTATCACACTAAATAGAAAATCTTCAAGTGTGTTAAGAAATGTTTAGATTTTGAAAGTGCGTTGGGCATTTTTCACTGTTGGGATTTGTGTTTTTCCTTCTTCAGCCTCCGTTTGATGGAGAAGATGAGGACGAGCTCTTCCAGTCAATCATGGAGCACAATGTGTCTTACCCCAAATCCATGTCAAAAGAAGCTGTGTCCATCTGCAAGGGAGTAAGTAATGCTTAAATGACCATGTAGGATTTTATAACTATACTATAATATTCTTAACTTTTTCTTTCCCTTAAGCACCAAACAGCCCCTCTCACATTTTCTGTTTGTCCCCAGCTGATGACCAAACACCCGTCCAAGCGTCTTGGCTGCAGCCCAGAGGGGGAGAGGGACATCAGAGAGCAGGCCTTCTTCAGACGCATCGACTGGGATCGCCTGGCCAACAGAGAGATCCAGCCGCCGTTTAAACCCAAAGTGGTGAGTGACGGTGTGAGTGGTGTGTATCGTGTGTTTGCACAGCCTAGTCTCCAAAATCAAATAAGAACATCAAATTGACTTATTATATTTTCTTGAGAAGAGTTGAAAAACTAATCAATGATTTGTTTTCAGAAGATTTTTGGTAAATCCAGCTAATTAAAATGATGCAAATTAGAAAAAACTTGGTAGAGCACACTAATGGCTGCCAAGGCCAAACAACCCTACTTTCTAGTTCTTCTAATTGAAATACATATTATTTGTCTAGAAATATAGAAAGACTGTGGACAATAAAATACTGTCCCATCCCTCCCTCAAGTTTGTCAGAAATGGGTTGAGTAGTTTTTGTGTAATCAGGCTAACAACAAAAATCAGCCCAGCCAACGTGACCGACTCAACTCAAACCCAGGGGGCTCTGGTCGGATATCCCCGCTCTGGTCCACATGTTCTTTGAGAACATTTTATTCTTTGCTGTGATTCTATTCTGTCTCTGCTCTTTATTCTTTTAGGTTTTTGGGATGTAACAATCAGCAGCAACAAAAAAAAGCAACCTCGGAGAGTCTTTAAGTGTGTGTACATGAATGGATGCATATTGTATGAATGTGCTGTCATTCATCTTCAGCCCAGTGTAATGTTCTTCATGCAGCCAGTGACGCTGCTTTTCTGTTTGCAGACCCCCGCGTCCTCCATCCCCTCGCTGCCCCCAGCGCCTGAAGCACCAGAAGCGCTGCCACAATGGATTAAAAATAGATCTCTAAGAGCAAAGTTCCCTTTACTTCCACACAAGGGCCACAATAAATGCAGGGTTACACAGCAGATGTATGTCTCCGCTCACGGAGGGGGAAGGAAAACATTTGTAAAAGCGGATCCATCCATTCAAGGGGCTTTTGTGTGGCGGATCTCAGTTCATATACAACGTCATTAATTGATCTGAGGGGATTCGCAAAGAAAAGATCCGTCTGAGGCGTGTGGCTCATATTCAGTAAAAGCTACAGAGCAGCTGGAAAAAACCCTGACCTGCTGATACGTCTCCTGAGAGAATGTTTTGCATGAATCCACTGTCAGCTTCAGATTTGGTTTGTTGTGTATCACTCATTCTGAAGGAATCTATCTCATTTGCTTGTTGATACACAGCAATAAGCACATATAATATATATTTAGCTTCCTGAGACCCATAATGGCCTCGAGTGAAGCCGCACGCTGATGCTGATGCCTTCTGCTGTGGAAGGGTCAGGTTCTAATTTAATTACAACTTCTGCCCAGCTACGCATCAGGCTCCGTCCCCTCTGGGACCGCTGGGGAGCTTTCTAATAAAAGACTCATGAGGAAAAGCCTTTTCAATCAAGACTCTACAATCCTGTTACCGTTTAACAATCTTCTTTTCAAAGTCTTTCAGAGATCAAGACGATAATAAATTGTCTCCACATCTGACTGTCATATAATCTCTTTCAGTGCGGCAAAGGAGCAGAGAACTTCGACAAGTTCTTCACGCGCACTCAGCCCGTGCTGACCCCCCCCGACCAGCTGGTCATCGCCAACATCGACCAGAGCGAGTTCGCCGGCTTCTCGTACATCAACCCTCAGTTCCTCCATCCATCCCTGCACAGCGTGGTATGAGGGCGGCATGGAAAAATGGAAAATCACGGACTGTCAGTAAAATACAGGACCCTTCTGAACTCCAACCGACGTCCCACTGTCAACAGACTCATATCATTCTCTAAAGTGTTCTGTCTGCTAGTTATCGACAACTGGGTAAAGGACTGACTGAGGAGAGAGGAGCTGTGGTGAAATCATGTTAAGTCCAATCTGAAGTGAGAGGAAAAAGAACATGGCACTGATATTTTTACATCATTTCCCCAAACATCTCATATTACGTTCTTTATTTTGCACCGTTATCTGTTTCTCAGCCTTTTTCTCCTGTATGAATGCGTCCTGGTATCAGTCGCTCTCTCGTTACATATGAAACATGCAAGATCCACGTCATCCCACTTATCTTCCCCCCATCTTACTACGCAACAAGCTGCAATGCACGACGAGAACGGAACATGTTTTTCTGCTCTGTCCTGGCTTTATCTACTTCTGAACTGCTACACGTGTAAATTATATTTATATACTCAACAAAGAGGTAGTGTCAGTACACACGAGTGCCAAAGTGGAAGTGGGAGAAAACTTTTCTTTTGCAGTTAGTGAAGTCCTTGTCAAGGTTTTTCCCAGCAGTGTCAACATAGTGAGACCCTTACACAGGGAGCGTTTCAATCTTTTTCTGTAGGACGTGGAACTCTTGTAAACGCTACACAAACAGAAGCACAGCCTGCTCACGGTTACAATCTGCCGAGGACTTCTCAGAGCAGTAGATGTTGTCGAGTCAGAGAATCAGAGAGACAGTATTTTCAAATATAAAGACGCTATTTCCATATGCACAAAGCAGATCTCTGTTGCATGCTTATTTTCTGACTCAGTATGAGCAGTAGACTCTAGGATGCAGTACATGTCTAGTATCATTGTAAATTTTAGTATTATGATATAAACTGTGTTGATCGTTGTATGTTTTCGAGGAGTCTTATCCTGGAGAAGAGTTTACTTGTTGAGTTCTCTTCCTGTTTTTATGTTCTGCTTAACTCAACTTTTAAGTCCCATCGTATGTCAACCTTTTTTTTCCCCTCTTTCTTTGTTAATATGTTTCAAACGAGATGTTTCAAAAAGAGAAGTCACTTGCAGATTTTATACCACGAACTGAATGTGCTTTTATTACCGTAGACGGTTTGGACATTTCTATGTTGAGATGACCCCTGAGAAAAGATATTCATAGCGTTTGACTGAATCTTTAGTAGCTTTGGTATCAGCAAACCTTGTTACATGTATTTCCACGACGTCTCCATTGTTTTCTACTACTCAGTGTCATATAGAGAATATGCAGCACCTCCCGAGCGTGGAACATTTGAACGCCCTCTTGCCTTGGTCGACTCAGGGCTGACTCCCTCTGTAACGAGCTGAATTCAAGTTGATAGTATGAGGATTTCAGAAACATGTCTTCTTGTTGTGAATCGTGTGTGCATGCCAGAGGCGTGGCCTGATCTTAGCATGAGAACGACCCCTGCATGATACAGCGATCCCTGGTGTGGAGCATGGAGTGCCCCCCCCCCACACCTTGTTGCACAGAATGAGACAAATCAGTCCACCGAGCACTGTTTGCTTTTCTGCTCATCATCTCTTCTTCACCGTCACATAACCTGACCTGTTTGGTTAAATAGCCGATGTGTAAAACCTTTCTGTTGGCTTATTGTTTAATGGTGCCAAACTGACTCTGCTTGTTTCCAGTTAGGTTTGACCAGCAGAGTTTTTTAGTTTTCTTTGCAAAAGGCTTCTACTGCAGCACAGCACAAAGCCATGACGTTTTGTAGAACTGCCAAATTTAGCTGCCACAGCTCTTAACCAGTGAATTAGTTACTTAACAGTAAACTGCAGCTGTCACATCTGGACCAAAATGAGATTTACTTTAAAGCTTATGAGAAAAATGAATGTTTACATGTCTCACATTGAGAATCTGTATTGAAGAAAAATCAACAGAAAACTTTTTGACGCATGACAGAGATAATCAAACGTCCAGTCAGGGTACAGTACCACTACAGGTGAAAATCAGAGCCACAGGGATGTTTGTACTTGTTTCCTTCTACTGCCCCTGCTTTTGTTTACCTGATTTTTCTTGTCCCTCTGTTCATTGTGGTATGATGGATACTGTGCATTAATAAAGTATGAAACCTATGAAAGATATTAATCTGCTGTGTTATGTTTCTCGTGTTCAAAACATGTGACACATCAAATTACACAAGACTACCATGCGCTTGGAATCAAAACCAGATAAAGAATATTATTGATTTATTAACAAAGAACAGCAGGTGAATAAATAAGCCTTAGTGTGGGGAGTAATGAATGAAAAGGAAAAGGGCCACAATTTACACAGAGGGGCCAATTATAGTATCTAATTCAGTAAGATGAACATTTACATCTCCTTGTTTACTGCTCTGAGCAAAGCCACACATCATTGAATGTGTTTTGAAAATAGCTCCTTACACATTGTTTTCTTCAAAAGGGCTTAGAAAATAAATTGTAATATTTATTGTTAGTTTTGTGTCTTGTTCTTTTCACACTGCTCACAGGATAGAGGCTCTTAAGGGGCCAATCAGATTTTAGCCTGGGCCAGTCCCCCTCTCTCTCTCTCTCTCTATCTCTCTCTCACACACACACACACACATTCAGCAGCCTGAATCAGGAGCAGACGCTGTGGTTCTCTGACGCGTTGCTCTTCATCACCATCTTGAAGGAATCACAGAATCAAGGAGCAGCTTCGCTTCTTGTTTCCTCTGATCGTCTCTTCACAGACAAACACTTCTCTCCTCCATCTCTGCACCATTGGATCTTTTTTACACCCACAACTTTGACTCAGTGCTGAGCGGAGACAGGACTCGAACAGGTGAGCAGAAAAAAACACAGCATGCAATGAGATCACTTTTCAATTCTCATTTGTTAAGACTCTGTATGTAAAATGTCATGTTTTCACTGGTCAGTATGTTTCATTGAGGTTTTGATGTTAGTATTCAACCCTAGTCTTGTGTATGTTACTACATAGATGAGTTACTACATACATGGTGGTAAAGGCAGGTGTGGGAGTATTTCTATTTAGGCTGCTTGATGTATTAAGTGATGAAGTACCATATCCATGTACTGATAAAGTACCTTATCCAAGTACTGCCATGTGGATGGTGAAGTGATATATGAGTCAGTAAAGTAACTCAATTAACATCATTCATTTATTTCTACTTTGAGGTTCAGTGTGTGAGATTTAGGTGAAAATTATCTATTGGCAGAAAATGTATCTAAAATAACCCTAATGATGTTTTCACTAGTGTGTTTCATGTGAGGGGTGTTTAGCTGCAACATGCAACTTCACCACTAAAGATCACTAAACTCTACAGACAGAACCTTTAACATATTTACTGGATTACCTGGTGGTTTAATATGCTGACTGTAATGTGATGTAATAACTCTACTATCTAACCCTAACCCTTCCTGGACAAGAGCAAGCTGATTTTGTGAATCTCTATGCAAAAAATATTTTACACCTTGAGCATTGCTGAGGTTTCTCAGGGGGTTGAATTCTAGCTGTTAAAACGCCAACAGAGAATGTCTTCATGCTGTTTGAGATAGTTGTGGTCAACTCTCAACCTGCAGCTCATTATCAGCTGTACCGCTGAGCCTCTCCCCCGACAATCTGTCCTTTAGGTGATTCTTCCCTCTGTCACATCACATAGATCCTTCATGTGTCCGGGGGGTTTGAAATCATCGCCCTGTCACTGCAGATGACGTCTCACTCCATTGTGTGATCAGTCAGCCCCACTCCGACTAGTGCATGCTTTTATGAATGTCCAACCTTTTGCACAGCTGTGGGATTAAAGGCTGTAAAATGTCAAAACTCATGCTTGGATTTCTAATCATGTGAGCATTTGTATTCAGTCGACTCAGCAGGCGTTTGTTATTGACTCCCACTTGATTATTCTTTTCGTCGCGAGTGGGACAGATTTGGCAGCGATGTGGACTGAACTCAAATGTGATGTTTCCATAGAAATATTAAATCTAAATCACATGGAAAGTTGCCCGTACCTTTCCATCAGTTAGTCCAAAACCTAAACTGAAAGGAAGACGTGAAGATCATTTTGTGATGCAGTCAAACAAAGTTAGATTTGGACTGGATTTACTCGTGAGACAACCCAAGATGTTATTGATTCCTGCAGTTGCACGGCTGCCCTGACATTATATAAGCATCATGGCAAATTGATCTGACTTCCTGGATCTGAGAAAGCATTCTGAAATATAGTGTGGACAGAAGAAGGTCACTCCCTCCTCATTCTTTCTACAGGTCTGTCTGTCATCCACCTTCATGGCTCAGTCTGGGCTCTGTGGGGTGGTTGTGTAAAACACTCCAAACTTTGTCTGGGTTTCATGATGAATTTGCACAACCCTGAGTTTCTCATGGTAATTTGAAGAGCTGAATATTCTCTTTATTTTTAACCACAGATTGCTGGTCACCATGAGCGCATGCAGCAGGAAGGCCCTGACTTTGCTGAGCAGCGTCTTTGCAATCAGTGGCCTGGGGCTGCTGGGAGTGGCAGTCAGCACTGACTACTGGCTGTACCTGGAGGAGGGCATCATAATGCCTCTGAACCAGAGCACTGACATCAAGACGGCGCTGCACTCGGGCCTCTGGAGGGTCTGCTCCCTCGCTGGTAAGTAGAGGGCATGCGTTTCCAGAACGTGCCAAGATTTGGGCTGAATTTGAACCGTACTCCTGTAAACTAATGATGCGATCGTGAGTAAATCAGGATTGTGGCTCAGACATTGATGATACTGTACGTTTTAAAGTGGGGAATGATCATGTGGGAAGAGGTTCTCTTGTGCTGTGCAGCATCTAAATGTGGCTGCAGGGAGCTGATGCTGTCACACTGACATATCGTCTCTGCGTCGCACAGATTTGACATTCACACGGAATGACATTCACAATTACTTCATCAGTATGTGTGTGAATGTATGTGTGTGTGTTTGTCCCTGTTTCAATCAGTCACTGTAAATCAACGTAAACTCCAATTACAGTCATTCCTGCAACACGATTATACAAACGCACACCTTGAAACACACGTGGAGTTAGCTGGTGGGTGACGTGACAGTGTGTGTGAGACGGTGAAGTGATAAGAACAGCTGTGCAGCTTTATTTGCAGGTTGTGATGTAATTCACACCTTAGTTTAAAAGAAGTTGATGATGACGCACTGTAAAGAACTGACTTTAGAAAATGTGAAAGAGAAGATTACAGGATAAAAATGAAAGTGTTTGTTGTGTATAATTATTGGTATTTGTGTTTGGGGTATTATTGATTGTAACACTTTTCTCCCTTGTGAACACATTATCTTAAGAAGGCCTTGAGAGACTCCTTTCATATTTGGTAGAAATGTTCACTCAGTATCACAGATTTACTGATTACATATTGTCAAAGGTCAAGAGAACAGTGGCCTCACAAAACATGTTTTTGGCCTCATGATATCTCAAGTCTGCCTTGAGGGAATTTCTGATCTGATAAGATTTCCCTTGTCAAAAGTCACAGTGACCTATTGTGGTAATTCCAGTTATGTCCTTCTCTCTAAATTTCGCTCTTCATTTCTGCCTCTGTCCTCTTAAGGTGACGAGTCTGGTCGGTGTTTTACCATCGAGTACATCATGCCCATGAATGTCCAGGTGACGTCCGAGTCCACAGTGAACATGCTCAGTGAGTAACAACATCAGAAACCTCCAACAGCAACTTCAGGCTCAATAACTGAAGGTGCGCCTCGGGGTCGTTCTCGTAGAGAGGCGAAGTATTTTTATCTAAACTCTTGTCACTTTTCAATAAGGTTGATATCAGACCTTTGCCAGACAGAGAAGTCTGAGTCATCGGAGTCATCTGCCCTGCTCCTCTCCACTTATTGCCTCCTGATGAACAATTCACCTCACCAGCCTCTCTGTGTTACTCAAAGTGAAGGTTTATTGGAGGATTAATCCACAGTAGTACCTCAATGTAATGAGACCTGATATTTTACAGAATTCATAAAAAGGAGCAGACGATGATAAAGTGTCTTATCTTTGCCTCCTTCAGTGGATGTGGTTTGGTCAGAACTCAAAAATGTCAAATGCCAAATAAAACAGCTTCAATTGAATTAAATTAGATCAACAAGACATTAATCAAGTTTTTTAACTCTGATTCTTTTTGTAAAATCACATGAATATGAAATATGACATGGTTTCTCTTGCTGACATTTATCATATGTATATTTTTGAGTTTGAAAAGCATCTTTCATTGTCCACTCTCTCCTCCTCCTCCTCAGAGATGATCCGCTCAGCCACTCCCTTCCCTCTGGTCAGCCTGTTCTTCATGTTCATCGGTTTTGTCCTCAGCAACATCGGGCACGTGCGACCACACCGCACCATCCTAGCCTTCGTCTCTGGAATCTTCTTCATCCTCTCAGGTACACCCATCACCCTACCGCTCTTATCTCTTGTCATGTCTTCATCTTCTCTTCTTCTGTTTTTATCAAACTGACATTTTCCTCTCTCTGTGTCTCAGGTCTGGCTCTGGTGTTGGGCCTGGTGCTGTATATTTCCAGTATCAATGATGAAATGTTGAACAGGACTAAAAGCAGTGAGGCCTATTTAACCTATAAGTACGGCTGGTCCTTTGCCTTCGCTGCCATCTCCTTCCTGCTCACTGAGGTGAACAACACACCATCACCACAAATAACCACCGGTCACTGCTGCTGTGGATATCACCAACACATATTCCACTCAACATCTTTCAGAATTTACAACAGACTCGATTAGAGCTTTGACAATTGGACGATTAAATGATTGGCAGAAAACGAATCAACAGCTATTATTATGATTAAATAATTGTGCAAATGCAAAATATTTGCTGATTGCAGCTGCACATGTGATAATTGAATCCCTCTGCGATGCGATTTGAATATGTTTGACTGTTTGGATTGTTGATCAGACAAAACTAAAAACAACTTTATTATTTCAGCACCTTAAATATTTGGGTTTTAAATTTCCATTGAAGCAGAAGCTTCTAACATATATTTCCTTTGCATTTTTGTAACACAGAGACCAATTTTCAACTTGCAAGAAAAGGCCCAATCAGCAGGGTGCCCTGCTTTAATTTAACAAAGAGGCTGCTGTTTAAACTTGTGTTTGTTTTATGCATTTATATATTTATTTTGTGCAACATTATGCAAAATTGCACTTGAAAATCAAAAAAGTAAACTTTAAAACTTTTGTTTTATAATTGTGAACACGCCACAACCTGCTTATTTGTGCGTAGCATTGTTTAACTGGTGATTAAGACTTGGACAGAATATTTAAAAACAAGTGTTTCGCATTAAAGTTTTTCCAGAGGTGTAAGATTGTGTCAACAGTAAATCTTTTGACCTGACTGTACTAAAGAGTTCAGCAGGTGAATGAATCAGATGACATGTTGGCACTCTGGGTTTCTATAAGCATCTTTAACAGTGTTGCATTGCGACCGTTCAACGCACAAGTGTTTGTAGTTGCAGTAGAGATTTCTAGAGAAGCTAATACTGTGTCAAGAACAAAACAGGGAGCAGGCTCAGCAGGAAACAAAGACAAAACTCAAACTGTCCAAGAAAAGAAAACGAGGCAGGAAAAAACAACATGAACACACTGGAGACAAAACAGACAGAGACTAAGATCACAACTAATCAAACAACTCGACCGGAACAAACCTGAGGACTCGACTTAAATACAAACTGAACTGATGACAAACTAGAGACAGGTGGCACAGGACAGACAGGTGAAACCAATCAAGGCAACGAAACTGGAGGGAAGAACACACACACACACACACACACACACACACACAGGCAGGAAGTAATTAGAACACAAGAATGAAACACAGAATGAAAACAAATCTGAAAACAAGGAAACACAGGTAAAAGTCAAATAACCAAAAGAGTCCATACTTAAAACAGTTCAAAGGTTGTGTCTTTAAAATGATCATGTTTCTGTAGAAAATGCTTCGTAGAATTTAGCAATAAATCTATTATAAATTGATTTTTTTAAATAACTCAGACTTTCAGAGGCAGATGAATAGAAGTGGTAAGAATCCAGGCAAAATGTAAAATAAAAGATATACAAAAAAAATGTTATATTATATATAATCAACATAATGGATAAGTAAATAACCAATGCAATAGAGTGATATGATAAAGAAGAAACATTTTTAAGAATTATGAGTAGTCACTGCCATCTAGTGATCGTAGAGAGGAACTGCAACACAACATTACACGAATGGTAAACTGTCAATATCAGTATAATTACTATCTGCACAACTCATTGTTAGTTTGCTGATACAAATAAGAAACAAGGTATTGTTTTAATTAAAATTGCATTTTCATGTGCATGTGCTGTAATGTTGTACAACTAAAGTACTTTGCATGAAATGTCTGAGTTCATGTTTCTAATATTTTGTTATGTCAAACGTTCAGAGTGCAGGTGTCATGTCCGTCTACCTGTTCATGAAGCGCTACACAGCAGAGGAGATCTACCAGCCTCACCACCCCAGCTTCTACCGCCCTCGTCTCAGCAACTGCTCCGACCACTCAGGCCAGTTCCTCCACCCAGAGGCCTGGTCCCGTGGACGAAGTCCCTCAGACATCTCCAGCGACGCTTCGCTCCAGATGAGCGTCAGCTATCCTGCCCTTCTCAAATGCCCCGGCTACGATCAGGTCTCCTCTTCACCCTGCTGAGGGGTCTTCCATCACACCAGAGGGCACCTGAAGGTGACTGGAGGGTCATTGAAGATGGAATAGGGTCAAAAGATCAGGTGAGGACAGAGTTTCCTTTCAAGACAAAGCTACAATTGAGGATTGTAGGGTTTCTTTTGTGAGACAATTCGAAGCCTTTGATTTAACTTCAGCTGAAAGGGAGAGACGTTGTTTTTAAATTTTGATTTCAAGTCATCTGTGCATTTTACCTTACAGTGCCTCATAGCCGGTTCTTTTTGTGAATATAGATTCATCAAAATATAATTTAAAATGAGGTCTAGTTTTTAATAATTCACCATTTTTTAAAGTCATGTTATTCTGTATGCAAGATTCATATTGTGCTGCCAGTAACAGATGATGGTTTTTTGTGACCTCCAGTCTGGAGCTCCAGAACAGGATAACGGCTGTGAAAACTGATTCGTAGATAATTACTGAATGATTAAAGCGATCGGAGGCATCGAGGAAAGTAATATATGTACAGGACCAAGTAGCAACGGATTATTAATTACTGTAGCATATGGATAAATATTTATACAGCAGATGTGTAATAGATGAATAAATATAGCAGTAGAAAAGTACATTTAAAGATGATGAGTAAGTAAGAGAAGACTAAAACATCAAGACTGAGTCAGATAAGATCACACAGATTTGTTTTATATAGATTTTTATATAAGATGTACAGTTGTTGGACTATTGGATTATTTTATTTCATGACGAGAGTTGATGTTAGGATGCTGGTACATAGAAGATGGTGATTGGCTGACTGATTATTCTGAGTGGGATTAAAAACCTTTGGTTCAGTGTCTGCTGGGGAATTAATTTGTGAAGCTGTCATCAAATGGCAGTTATTTCAAAACTGCTATCCTACATTATCCCACTGAGGGGCAGTATTTTCTTTTGTGGCATTTAACATTTAACCTTCACATGTTACAGTTTACAAAAAAAACAAACAATGATCCTAAAAACACAATTCCCAAATATTTAGTTCATACTTTTCTTTTTCTCCCAAAGAATTCAGAAGTACATGTGTATTTAAATATCCTCCATGGATCCAGTAACACACTGAGTTTGTCTTGTTATCAATGTGATGGATTATACAACTTTTTGTAATAAACTATTTTAATCTGACACGTGCCTGTCATGTTTATTGTGTAGCCTACATCTTTAAATGCAAGTTAGTGTCACAAGCTTTTAAAAATAAATGATAGATACATATCATCAGAAAAACAATTATATTAATATATCAATATTTGAATTATTAAGATGTTTTTCAAATTTACAGCACAATTTTACGCTTTTACATTAAAAAGACGGGATTGAGATTCATGTAGATATTATAAAACAGAGAAAGGACATGCTGCCAGTGAAGATATAACGACAGACCTGTGACTTTGACCTATTGTGTTAAATAAATCTGTGACTTGTATTGATACTTCTATTCACTCTTCTAATATCCTTATCATTTGTCTTCATCTGTTTGATTGTTTTCAGAACTACGCAAAAACTACTCTAACAATTTCTATAACATTTGATGAAGGGGTGAGGCACGACCACAGGAAGAAACCGTTCAATTTTGGTGCAGATCTGGATCAGAGTAATCCATGGATCTTGGTAAAAAGAGTCTAGTGAATTTAAATGTGGTTTCATGGGGAACATTTTGTTCATGCTTGTCCCAGAGCCAGTAGAGGGCGCCTTCTCCTCACTCATTCTGTTCCACATCATTTTCTCTCTTTGCCACCAAAATATTTTCTTTGACCTTTTCTGTTCTACTTCACTTCTTGTTATCTCACTTTTTACTCAGCCAGATATGCACCAGGTGTCTGCATGATGTAGTGCGACATGATGTGCATTCAAACGTCTTGTCATGAAATCTGTGTCATTCATTAACGAGAGCTAATAACTTATGCAAATATGCAGAGACAGCATCAATAATGAAAAAGCCATACATCTGCTGTGAGCTTTATGTATACTTTATGTAGATACATTTAATGTACAACGTGACCAATAGCTTTTACAGAGAATATAAAAGTTAATGTAACTATACGCCCACACAGAGCAGTAGAAGATAATTGTCTGCCCTCGAGGCTTTCGTTTTATTTTACAATCACATAGAAAACTACTGTGTTCATAGCTGTTGACATCATAATCAAAGATATTATTATAATCATCATCACTGATATTACTTCACTAGAATCATCATCATTAAATTCAAACATCATTTTCACTGTAATCTGTATCATCCTCATAAATATGTCATCTCATACTCATCAGTCATGGCTTTTTAACATTGTCACAGTTATTGATCAATATTCTCATCATCAATATATATTTTCTTATGATTGTGTTAAAGGCTTTTGGAAAGAAGACCCCAAACTTCAGCTGATGCTAATTTGTTACACAGAGTGTGCATAAGAGACCAGAAACCTATACATCATATAACTTAAGCATACATTGTTTGAACATTTACAGGTAGCAACCATTTCACAAATGAAAATAAATACAAAAGGATAGGTGGTTATTATATATTTAGAATTTCTTCTTTTCTTAAAGAACACAAAAGCAAGCAAGTATATTTAGGATTACAAACCAAATGCAAACAGGATCACGACAACACAACGACCTTCACTGACACTGGACGTAGACAAGAAAACAAAAAAGAAAAAGATTTAAAAAAAAAAAAAAGAAAGAAAAGAAAGAAGCTTAATCGGACTGGTACCCTAGAGAGCTATCGCATAGCCATAACTGAAACTTACCCATCAGACTGACAGGACCTTCTCAAAGGAAAGTGCTCTTAAAGTTATAATCCTTAAGATTTTCAGAAAATAGATTTTCATGCTATCACTGCTCATCTTTTCATTTGCAATGTAATGCTGTAGTTACCTCTCTGAATATCAGCTTTCTGCGACGCCACCGCTGAAGTGTCCTGACATGCACAAGGGATTCACATGAAACAAAAGATCATTGTAATCCATTAAGATGGTCACACTGCAGTGCTGTCCTACGGATACATTCCAATTCTCATTCACTTCTATTGACGTCCATATGAATTTTCAGCACGTTTCTACGGGACCACACTATCACACTGTAATGTTGCTGATCCATATTCATTTATTACGAGACATTTGAGAGGAAATGCTATGTGGCTGCACCTTAACTGTTTTTAATTGAACTCACAGCTCTATTAAGTTGCTGCCGATATAAATCCAACACTTCCTGCTGCAGCAGCGGCTTCAAATTAAGTGTTCAACAAGCAAAAACTGCTTATAATGATTCAGCCAAAGGACACTGTTGCATTGAATTGTAATTATTACCGAGATTAGGGCTGAGAAAGTTCAGTTACCTAAAATACATTTGAAACATTACAATGGTCATTTTCCAAGAAATAGCAGCCACAGTGATCCTTAGATGAAGAGCTGCAGGTGATTCCTCCATAACCAACCCCCATTACTCCTGCTATTGTCTGGAAATGTACTCGAACCATGTGCAGCATGAATCCGTTGCTGTTTTGTTTCATTTCTTTTCTTTACTCTGCTGAAGCCAAATCAACCAGGACAGGAAATCTCAAAGATTATAACTTCAAAGTCCAAGAAGTAAGTTTTATCTCAGGCCAAAAAAGCAAAAGCGCAATTGCTACTCAACTAAAATAAAAAAGTATGCACATTTCAAAAGTCTCTGCTCCACACAAATAAATGAAATCAGCCCAGCTGACTCAAGACTGTAATGTTATATCATGAACCTAAATGTAAGCCAGCGCTGTTTTCAGAGGTTACTCTGAGCAGGGCTCCAGCCATGGCACCCGGAGAGAAGAATTCAGCACCAGAGTGAGATGACGACAGGGTTCGAGTGAGGTTACACCTCACCCGTCACCTCCCAGACTCTTTTCCTTTCTCTTCTTCCGTCTCTTTTCCTTCCTCACACCTTCCCCACATATTTATATTCAACCTTTTATTTTGACAGTCGTGCCCCAAGTAGCTGACCACACATCTGAACTCTAATTCTGAATTAGTAACTTCGTCATAAAGCACAACGGAGGGAACCCTTGAATCATATGTGCACCCACACTGCAGAAGCACGCGCGCGCACACCCACACACACACACACTGGTCTATAATAACACGCATGCATGTGCACCTGAAACCTGGCAGTTGTGCTTTGAGGAGACCCAGAAACATATCATGACCATGAGAGGGAGGTAGGGGAGTGTGTATGAGATGAAGGAGAAACAAACTGATTGGTTGGTTGCTCATGTACATCTGAGTTTCCCGGAGCTCTGCTGTTCCCTCAGTAGTGTGTCGTGTCTCCTCAACACAGACTTGTGGACAGCCCAGAAGAAAAACTGAGGTTGGTCTTCGGGGTCGAAGACTTGTCTTAGGTTGACAGTCACTTCTGCGGTGAACCAGCTTTGCAGTGTGTGATGTTTGTGTTCACGAACTGAGGGAGAGAAAGATGGGCAGTTGGGGGTCGTGAAGATTGTCCCTCTTCACTTCTTGTTAGCGATGCGTCTCTTCCTGGTGGCCAGCATGTCGTAGAAGGGGTCCCTGCTAATGCTGGCCCTGGAGAAGAAGCCAATCAAAGGACAGCAATGAAATAAATAATATCGCCACATGAGAGTCTCCAGCATCTTTGATATGGAAATGTAGGCACATTTATACAAACCCCTGCCTTAACTAGATCAAAAAAAAGAAAAAAGTTTGTGCAATGACCTAGTTTGGTTTCCATGGTTTCTGAAGAATTACCCTCCCTCCCCAAGTTTTCTTCTTGGTACTCTGGTTTGCTGGAACCTCTCGCCGATTCCCTCTTCCACAACTCTGCCAAATACGAAGTAAAACACACGATCGCACACTCTCTCTGCCGCTGTGCTGCAGGTATATAGGTCTGAAGGAGGGAAAACAACGGTGCTCAAGATTACTGACTCTCTCTTTATTGCCGCATTCTCCCGCTCCCGATGTTTTTTGGAGCGATAGAAAATCCGCGTACAGTAAGAGTGAGTGACTCATGAAGCCGTTTGGGCTGCACTGAGGAGCCCAGTTTCACGGCTGCTAAATCCTGTTAGCACCAGCACAAAGCACAAGGAGGCTCAACCCCCCACTGCGGATATCTCTGATTCCCTTTACAACTCCACGCGCTGAAGAATGAGTCTGTATACGATGACTATCCCCTCTTTCATACCACTCATTGTCATTTTCAACAACCCAATTTCATGGAACAAAAACTCCACATGCTAGAGTGATCTAAACCAGGCAAGGCTGCCGTGACTAATATGATATAACAGTTACACTATTTCTGTTCTTGAAACGTGAAAACATAATGAATTGTATGGAATACACATAAAAGACATATGCTCTTCTCATTAAATAAAATACTGCATGAGTTCATTCGTTCAGAGTCAAATTGGTCCATTATGTTCTGGGTCTGTGTATTTCTCGCTCAAGATAAGCAGATCGAGCAGTTCTTCTCTGATCATCTCTACTTTAGAAGAGGGTGAAAATCAGCATTTCCATAAAAAGCCTTTTATCTCCCCAGACCTCCAGTCCTCTCGGACCCCTCTGGTGAAATGCAAACTGCGGCTTGTTAGCCTCTGTGGTTACGAATGCATCAACCCAGTTCGGAACTGCTGCCTCTCCTGGATAGGTTTGCTGGGTTTACTGGCTCACCCCTGGGGTGCTATAAGCAGTGACTAATCCCACATCATTTCCCCAGTGAATACTGAGAGTATGGATAGAGGGGGAGGAGGAGGAGAAGGAGGAGGAGGGGGAACTGTACCATATATACAAGTGTACTGTTCTGCTGATCCAACTCTCTTTGACATTGCACCATCTTTTATACAGCTGAATAAAGAGCATCCAACATTTAGGTCAGTTACTGTGAGAGCGATGTATGGTTTCTGATGTAATGTAATCTTAACACTTTCGCACATTCATCGTCTCTTTTACTGTGAATTAAATATTGGGACACTCCTGGTATAGATTTAGGGGTTTTAAACCCACGTCTGAGTCTCCTCTACTCTCATCCACAGGCGAGACAAGACGTTGGAACCACTCAAGGTGACAAAATCTACATTTTTACATCAGAAATCTCTCAAATTCAAGAAACGTTTGTCTTATTAGCTTTACACTTGGCTTCTGTGTTGTTACGTGCTCAAAGAGGTGTGGTATTCAACCTTAAATAAAAAAGTAAAAGCCTTGCTGATCAAAGTCAACAAAACAGACTTGTTCAAAACAACTGAGAACGACAACTGATTCTCTACTACAGGGTTCTGCATAATGAGCTTCTCTCAACTTTGAATAAACAGGTGAGCAGCTCTTTGTGCAGCAGCGTTGTCTTCACAGCTCAATTACTGCAGGTGATTTTTACAGTTTGAGAGACAGAGCGAACATCACCACAGGCCCACTCCAAAGAGGCAGGTTTAGAACGGGTTTGGTTTTACAGGGCAGAGTTACATGCCACTTTTATTGACAGGGGTCTTACTTGATGGATTTAATCCACTCTTCCTTCTCCTCTGGCGTGGGTGCTGATATCCTGTACACCACATGGTTTCCCTCGACTACACGACCATCTGCTTCAGTCTTGCAGGCTTTAATCACCTGGCCCTTGTGATTGGGGTTGTAGAGCTCAAAACAGTTCTAAAGGAGGGACAAGGAACAGGTATCAACAATGTGCAGCAGTTAGATTTTTAGCCTGACCAAGAAATGTATTTACAAAAAGGAAACGTGATAAACGCAGTAACCAAAGGGAAAGTATACTCGAAGTGTGATCTAAGGGTGAGGTCTCTAATGAAGCAACACTCACAGGTTTCCTAGGCTCCTCCACCTCCCTGATGCTCAGATTCTCCAGTGGGATGATCCCACGAGGCTCCTTGTCCTGAAGGAGAGACGGATGAGAACGGGAAACATGAGAAGAAGAAAAACATCCAACTGAACACAAGGAGAGCATGAATGATGGAGAAAGTTCAAACGCAAGCAAAGAAGAAAGAATAGAAAGAGAAGATAGGAGGAGTAGCAGAGACAGAGATACAGACAGGAGGAGGGAAGAGGAGACGTGAAGAGCAGTGCATTAAGGAATCACTTAAGAGGAAGACAAGAGGGGAAGAAACCTACAGAAAGAGAAGGACGGGGAGGGAGGAGAGGTTGAAATCCACTGTGACATTTGTGAGCATGGAAATCAACCCTGGTCACCCCCTTTCCTCTCACACTCTCGGCTCTTTAAAATAGCTGATAACGTGAGTGTGGAGCGGTCAGACCAGAGGAAGGGACATAATGATAGCGTCCTCAAGGATAATAATAGGGCAGAAAGAGGACAGTGCTGAGGCAGCAGCTAACAGGGACATAGAGGCACAGATAAAAATCTGTGAGGATGCACATTTAAACATACTGGCATCATACTCCAAATTTAGATATTCCTTATAATCCCAGACTTTATTATGGAACCCCAGAACTCCTAAATGTCCTTCCAACTTTACATTTAGACAAAATTACATCAAAATGAACAGCGACTGTTGTCATTTTATTTTGGTCACATTTGAAACCATCGCAAATGTTTTGAGGCACTTTTTTAAAATCAGAACATCATCATGGGTATGAGACTCACTGTTGTGTATTCAAAGTAGTAGAGGCAGTTGTCCGTCAGAATGAACCACCGTCTCTTCCAGGTTTTTACTCGGCCCCCTGACAGGAAGAGAAAGAGGAGAAGGGAAGTGACACAAAGGCCACAGTGACAGACTCGCTGTCTCGCCATCAGGAAAAAGAGCAGGGACGTGACACTCGTTAACGATGCCGACCAGAAAGAGTTTTCCTACTCTTGCGCATTTGAAAAGAAAAAGTCGGAAAACCAGACTCAGAGAAAAACATACATGCACATTTTACATGATTGATTCTAGTTTGTCAGTTCACAGCTGTAATTCAATTTCCTGTGTAAGAAAGGCTGCTTGTCATCAATCACATGAAAATATCATGTGACAATTAGACACCGACATGAACACATGCCACTGAAAGGTCAAAGTCTGATTTACGTTTATCTAGTTTTCCAGCTCTGCTTTAAGTGAAATGGAGATGGAGCTGAAAAGAAATGTTCCATCTATAGACTGAGTTGACGATTTTGTTCTCTCTAAGAACGAAGACTTTCTGATTTGAAAAACGTGTAAAGAAAGATTTCTTCAAACATTACTTCTGAATGTGTGTTTGAGGTTTTGAGTGTTTTTATCTAATCATTTACTGCTGGGCTGCGTTTTGGCATTTCTATCTTATGGTGCAGGTGTAGGGTTTCAAACATAAACATGTGATAAAGACAGATTATGAAAATGCACGGTAGCTAGTTTGAAGAAAACTAAAGGAAACAAAGTGTGTGATCGCAATCATCACCATCTCTCCCACTTTTGAGCTTAGTTAAATGACAACCTGCGTCACTGATGAATTATTACTGTCTGAGTCTATTCATTTTTGAAGGCAACAGGATTAAACCTCTTTGGCTCTGAGAGAGGAGCAAACAGCTCATGATAAGAACCTAACATGGCACCTAGAGCACCCCTGAAGAAACACATACGCACATGCAAGTACAAAACTATGACACACACACACACACGCACACGCACACGCACACGCACACACACACACACA